AGGGCTAAACCCCAACCCTAAGAACCATCATATGCATTACTATAGCTGAGACTGGATAGAGAATTAATACTTGGAGTCTGGAATTCTCTATCAGCAAGGCTACTCACATCAAACACAATATTAGAGTCAAATATAAGACAGAAACATGATAGGGTTAGGACTTTAACCTACCTTTCCCTGAATTTGACAAAATCCTCAGAATCTCGATTGAACAATACTTGAGTGAAATTGTAAGAGCTGCAAAGTTTAACTAAACTGTCAGTAGGGCATTTTAATATAAACAGGTATATGGAAAACCATTCATACTTATGAAAATAGTGACTCCTATCTGTACTATACTTTTATTTCTACAGCTAATTTTGATAGTTAATTTTATTCACCATTGTCACTGTACAATGAGACTTTCTGTTCTTTTTTTATTAATTGCATAGTGTTTAATTTCATCTTTGAATGTGTGTTTTATTATTGTACAAACGTCTATTTCTAGAGATGAAATTGTATTCTGATGCTACCTACAGAATGCAACCTAATCGTTGTCCTCAATGCTATAGAATATCCTCAATGCTATATATATGCTATCTACAGAATGCAAATTGTTTTACATCTCTTGCATTCTATTAGTTTTTGAATTTAACTATCATCTCTTTAAAGTTTTGGCTATTGATTAAGTTTTAAAAGTGTGCTATCCCCAAAATACTTTTTCTGTTTTGTTAGATTCAAATCAGAAAATTGAAAAACACTATAGGACTAAAATACAAAAAAAATTGTTGCATCAATGCTCAATATATGCCATCCTTGTCACTATATATTTAATTTTTCACTTTAGATCATATACTATTCAAATATTTTAATATTTTAATTTGTATTTTTTTACACTTTAAATTCATGGATGGGTTTTGGATTGAAATGCAGATTGTGAGAATTATATATTTGTTGGCTGCCTTGTTCATACTTTTTTTTTTTTTTTTTAACAATCATGGAGATTTGAAGGCAGCCCCAAAATCATTAAATCACACCGCATGGATATTACCTGGAACACCAGAAATCACACAGCAGACCTATTAGTAAGGAAATATCCTCATCATTAAGCACTATGGCTTTTGTACGTGTATACATTTCCCAGCTCCTTGTGCATCTGCTCCTTCATCTCCTCAGTATCCTCCTCCACGGAAACCAATAGTCTAATATTGGAAATTAGATAAAGAAATAGAAAAGAAACTAAACATGAATATATAGTAGTAACTGAACCAAAAAAAAAAAAAAAAAAAAAAACTGAATAATTAGTAGATAATATAGGTGAGAATAGAAATGTTTCCAGAAAACTGTGCTACCAATTTTGTCTGTCCACATGCATAATCCAAAAAAAATCTCAATACAATTGTCAAAAAAAAAAAAAAAAAAAACAAATGTGCAGGTGTTCTCACCGTAATCTTCAAGCAACTGTGTGTAATCTTCAAGCAACTATGTTTTATCAATATTGAGATAGCATTGTATCTTTGCCCAGATTTTTGGTTCTTATTTTTGGTTCTTTGTTTGCATATTTGCAAGTTGTTCGAACTGGAGAGATGGTATGAAGGGAGCTTTATATAGAGGCTGAATTTTTTTTTTTTCAATTTTGAATAGTCTTGGAACTATGAAGGCTGCTGGAAACATTTCAAGACCCAAGATTAAATTAGCAACTATGTTTTATCAATACTGAGATAGCATTGTATCTTTACCCAGATTTTTGGTTCTTTGTTTGCATATTTGTAGGTTGTTTGAACTGGAGAGATGGTATGAAGGGAGCTTTATATAGAGGCTGAAATTTGTTTTTTCAATTTTGAATAGTCTTGGAACTATGAATGCTGCTGGAAACGTTTCAAGACCCAAGATTAAATTAGGTTTAGCTTTTCATTAGAAGTCTTTCATTATTAGAAGTCTAATTATTTTACTTGGTAACCAAAAAAAAAAGTAGTCGGAAATAGGCATTGGAAGTCGAAAAGTCATTGTAAACACAATAAATTCTACACAGATATTTACTTACCTAAAGTGACGTCGTTTTAATTGGGCGGGAGAATTGTTTAGGCAAAAACTTAGTGCTTTATTATAATGATAGATTTGTACTTGTATCATCAATGAGGACAGTGTTTAACTCATTGTACCTACTAAACTTCTTCCATACTTCTCTCAAATCTTTATACATTATTTTTTATTTGAATTGTTAAAGACACAAGTGTTTGTTATTATGCAATGCTCTTTACCCTGCAGAATATAAAATAAAATGTTACAATAAAAAATGTTATCAAGAGATAGGATTTTTTAGGTTAAAGAAGAACTTACCCATGTAAACTTGAAAGAACAACCAATTTTATTCACGGCGTTTATTAGCAACTCACATGTACGATTGACATTATGTTGATCTTCGCATAACCAAATCGCAACGTCTAATTTTCTTACACAAAATTGCAGAACTCCTTGTAAAATGGTCAGTAATGTGTTGAAATCCTAGGCCTGTTAGGAGTGGGCCTATTAGGCTATAGCTTTCTCTGTATAAATAATTGTAATTTGTACAACACTAGTATGAGAAATAGATGAAACCTTTCATTCTTTCGCATGGTATCAAAGCTTAAATCCTAAAATTCCAACCCCTTTTTCAGCGACGGGGTCCATTTGGCTATAGCTTTCTCAGTATAAATAATTATAATTTGTACAACACTAGTATGAGAAATAGATGAAACCTTTCATTCTTTCGCATGGTATCAGAGCCTAAATCCTAAAATTCCAACCCTTTTCTGGCGACGCCACAGTCCATCGGAGATCTACCGCCGCTGCCGCTACTGTTCACTGTTCCGGCACCTGCCTTGTGCTTTTTCTCCCTAACCGAGCCCATATGCCTCATCGGAACAGTGTCGCGAGCCTTTGGCTGAAGTTCGGTCGTCGCCTGTCGCCACGCGCCACCGCTGTCGCTTAGACAGACGCGGATCTTTTTCAGTCAGATCTCCCTCATATGATCTCCGATCGAGACACCGTTCCCACCATTGGACTCGTCTCGAGGAGACGCTTTAGGCAGTGTTGTTCGTTTCCCGCCCGCCATCGCCGATCGACGCTGCCGACCACCGTCGTCAACCAGTGTGCTGGTTTTTCGTTGGTAATCATTATGGCTTTATCTTTTACCTCTTATCCCACCATTACTATGGACAAGTTGGTTGAGAGTGAAAATTATGCTTTGTAGTCCGCATCTGTGAAACTTTGGTTCAAAGGCCAAGGTGTGTCTGATCATCTAACCAGAAGAGTTGAGGACATTGAAGAATCGAAGAAAGTAGATTGGGAGAAGGCGAATGCATTATTATGCAACATGTTGTGGCAATCCATTGATCCTAAACTCTATAAAATTTACAATGCCTATGAGACGTGTTATGATGTTTGGAATAAAGCCAGTTCTCTTTATACTAATGATATCCAAATGATGTATTTCCTAATATCTAATGTGCTTAATTTCTATGGGACTACTGATATGAGTATACATAATTTTTTGGGCCGGATTGAAGCTTTACAACAGGAGTATAATAATTTAATGCAATATGAGAAAACACTTGAAGGTCATGTGAAGCAGTGTGATAAGTTATTCATGGTGTTGACCTTGGCTACCCTTCGGCTTGATCTGGTTCACGTTCGAGATCAAATTCTACATGGTGATCTACACGAGGAGGTTTATATGGAGCAACCACCTCGGTTTGTTGCTCAGGGGGAGCCTGTTCTGGTATGTAAACTTCTTTGTTCTTTATACGGTATGAAGCAATCTCCACGGGCTTGGTTTGGAAGATTTAGTTCTGTGGTGTGTGAGTTTGGTATGACTAGAAGTGCAGTTGATCATTCTGTTTTCTATCGTCATTTTAATGGGAAATGCATATACCTTGTAGTATATGTGGATGACATTGTTATTACAGGGAGTGATCAAGAGAGCATATCTCAGTTGAAAGAGTATCTCTTCAGTCGGTTCCAGACCAAGAATTTGGGCAAGCTGAAATGCTTTCTCAGAATTGAAGTGGCTCAATCTAGCACTGGTATTGTCATTTCTCAAAGGAAGTATGCCTTGGATATTTTAGAAGAAATTGGCATGTTGGATTGTAGACCGGTGGATAATTCAATGGATCCGAATGTTAAACTCCTACCATGACAGGAGGAGTCATTGCCTAACCGAGAACGATATAGGAGATTAATTGGAAAATTAAATTATCTCACGATCACATGACCGTATATATCTTTTGCAATTAGTGTGTTGAGTTAGTTTCTCGAGAATCCTTGTGATTCTCATTGGGATGCTGCAGTTCGTGTTCTAAGGTATATCAAGAGAGCACCAAGACAAGGTTAATTATATGAAGATAGAGGACATTCTCAAGTTGTTGGGTATTGTGATGCAGAATGGGCTGGTTGCCCATTTGACAGACGTTCTACTTCGTTATTGTGTTCTCATTAGTGATAATCTTATATCTTGGAAAAGTAAGAAGCAAGATGTTGTTGTTAGGTCCAGTGCTGAAGCGAAATATTGAGCCATGGCCCTAGCCACGTGTGAGCTTATGTGGTTAAAATACTTACTACAAGAGTTGCAATGCGGTAATGTTGCTAAAATGACATTGATATGTGACAACCAAGCAGCTCTAAACATCGCATCAAATCCCGTTTATCATGAGAGGGCTAAACACATTGAGGTTGACTGTCACTTCATCAAAGAGAAGATTGTGTCAGAGTGCATCAAAACCAACTTTGTCAATTCTGCAGATCAATTAGCTGATATCTTGACAAAATTTCTGCAGATCAATTAGCTGATATCTTGACAAAATTTCTTAAAACTCCTAGAATTGAGTATATTTACAACAAGCTTGGAGCATATGATCTATACTCTCCAGCTTGAGAGGAGTGTTGAAACCCTAAACCAGTTAAGAGTGGGCCCATTAAGCTATAACTTTCTCTATATAAATAATTGTAATCAATTGTAATATGTACAGCACTAGTATGAGAAATAGATGAAACCTTTCATTCATTCGCATAATGTCCTAATTGTTCAACATACAAAAGTAATCTAGTCAGTTTGCTTGCCTGTCAAATATATACAGTATAAATTAATTAGATTAGTGTACAGGCACTTTGTTCAAATCAAAATCCAGAAGCTTCTTGGAAGCAGCCATTGGGATCACTTGATCCTCAATCAGCCCATCATCCATAGCAGGCCCATCCTCATCCATCTCGGCAGCAGCCCCATCCACTGGGGTCTCATCTACATCCATATCCATCACTTTTGGCAGCCAAGGTTGTTCGTCTGTCAACTGTGCAAATGACACATCCATGCCTAATTTAACTTTCCATTGTTGCCAATAATCTTTGATCCATTTTCCTAATACATAAAATATTGCAATCACATTATCGTATCAAATAATAATGATAACAAAATAATAATAATAATAATAATAATAATAATAATAATAATAATAATAATATGAATCTAAAATCATGTACCTCTTAATCCTTTGCATTGAAAATTTTTATATTGTCTATAATTTTTTTCTGCAATTGAGTAATGGTTCTTCATCCAGTTTTTCATTTCCTCCTTGCGATCTGTGGTAATTTCAACTTGAGGATTTGAATATTTATATGGCTCATTAAAAATGCCACGATCTACTCTGAATATTGGCAGTATTGACAACTCCATCCTCTTTTCTTTTTGATAATGTTGTGGCATGAGACGAAATCATTGGTTGTATGGATTAGCACAAATGTCCTCCTGCATACACCACGGATATGCATTAGAATATGAATTGTTAAGTAGATAAAGAAAATAAACTTACAAGCCCCAATTCATGGAAGCACGAAAATATATCCTCATCTAATTTTGGATTATGTGTATCTTTTAAAGTGTGACATAACCTTTCTCCCCATCCAACAACCAATGGGAATGTATTGGGGTCATTTTCGCATCTAAACAGCTCTTGCAGAGGTTTAATATGTTGAAATGCAAAAGCCTGCAAAATAAAAAATGGAAAAATAAAATAAAAATTCCAGTTAAACATTATCGGTTAAAGGGAACAGGAAAATACAGTAAAATCCTACTACTTACCATAAGGGCAGACATACATCCTCCCAGACAACCATTTTCCCGAAAAGATACTAAAGTATCCACGATTTCAACTAATGCAGCTTGCCCTCATGCATAGTCTCCAATCTCATGATCGTCCTCTACGAAATTCACCCATATCGGGTTCATATGATTTGGTGAAGAACCAGGAAAAATCACAGTTCCTAATAAATATAAAACTGTTGCCTTGACTCTTAATTGCAATTCATGAGTATAATAACCTTCGTTGTTCTTGGCAACTGCTACATTTTTTAGACCCTCCAAGCTTAGGCCTTTATTTTTATAATAAAGGCCTTCACAGTCAGGAAATACGCGTCGTATCGTGTCTACACTATCTCCTTTTATTACGACCAGTGGTCTACCGCTGATAGGCAAGCCAATGGTGCATAATATGTCAGACAAACCAAAGTAGAGTTCTACTTCGCCCTTATATCCTAACTTAAAAACTTTCTTCTCAGAATCATAACTATTTGCTAAACACCAAAGTAGTGGCCTATGAAGTCGATGGTCAGTTTTACAAAATGCTATTAGGTTCTCAAATCCAGTATTACTTAATTCCATAAGAACATCATCGCACACGACAAAATCTTTTCCAACTCTAGTGTGTTCATAAACGTTTTCTAACTTTATATCTGCAAAAATAAAAGATTTCGAATTTAGCATAAATGGTTTCAAATAAAAGATTTTCATTAAGAAATTTCAACAAAACACTTCACTTACAGTCAGTTACGCAATGATAACATTCACACACCATTTTACCCTGCAAAAAAAGAGTTGCAATATTGAATCCTGTATACAAGAATGATGCCAGTTAGTTTGCCATTAATATTTCAATTTTCAGTCTTTCAATACCAACTAAATGGTGAAATTAATAACTATGATGCTAGGCAAATACTTAACAGGCACATTCATTATCAAGCACCACTATATTAAAGATGAGCATGTTTAGTTGAATATCACATACTACTGAATCCCCTGTCTTATCCCCAATGTCTTTCCATTGGTTTCTCTATAATACCTGCATTTTTAGTTTATCTAAACCATCATATCCTTGAAAAAAAAAAAAAAAAAAAAAAAAAAAAAGATTCACGTACTTAGTTACTTATATGCCAAGGATTAACTCAGATACACATATCTGGTGTGATGAAGAAAAACCAAGACAACTTTACATTGTCCTGATCAGGTAACTAAAATACCATTCTCTAAATGTTATCTTTCAAGGAACACAGTGAAGAATAAATGAGAATTAAAATGAAGTAATAAAAGTGGCAACTTGGACGCGGGTTGAAGTAATGAAGTAATGAGAATTCAATCAGTGAAGAAAGTTTCATGTGATGTTTACTGTTTCTGCAGTATTCATGGGTTAGTCCGCGGAGAAAACATGGAACTTGGACGTGAATCTGATACAGGTGGTCAGGTAGTGATGTTACATCTCCCGTTTGTTTAAAAAGAAATACTCCATAGAAATACACAACTTAAAAGGAAACCAGAATTCAAATGGATAAAGAAATATATATATATATATATATATATATATATATATATATATATATATATATATATATATATATCTTGAAATCAGATCTCCTTGTTCTAACCTCACTCCTTTTCAGACTCTTACAAGCCACTATTTGTGATGGATAATTCAGTGAATGGAAAGACATTGCCATGATCATATATATAATTCACAACTAAATCTAATTAGAGTGTGATTTCGAAGGTATGTAGTGACTCATTTTAAAAGAACACAAGAAAGTCTGTGTGTGTGAGTGTGAGCAAGAGAGTGAGAAGGACCATTACTACACACTCCATAAAAATCAAATATTAGTCTGTATTCATTTCCAGGTGTCTCTTTCCCTTTCTAATTTCATTATCAAATTAAACAGAATGCCATCATATCCAAATCCTTACTAGAAGCTAATTATGGATGCAAACAGATTGGAACATTAAAACACCACTGACAAGATGTATTTATCAGAGTCCAGCATATCAATTGCAACACTATCTCTTCAAACTTGTGCCCAAAGAACACTACACCAAAAACAGTTAAAGACCTCTAAATATGCCACTAAGGCACTAAGCTGCAGCTAATAACAATAAACAAAACAAAACAAAAAAAAAAAAAAGATTACCACAGTACAAGTTCTGCAAAAGTCAGAGAGTGATTATAGCAAACAGGATCCAATACTTAACAGGCATATTCATTATCAGGCAAATATTAAAGATGAACATGTTTATAACACATATTTCATTTGTTCATTCATAATATCATCTAGATATTCGGAAGTCTAGGGTTTTTGGCCGAATCTTACGGTTGTATGGTCGAATCTGCAAGGAGTGAACAAGAGGAAGGTGGATTTTTGGGCGGGAAGTATAACTTGAAGCTATTGTCTTCTTTGATGACTTTCCGTCTTTTAACCTAAACCTGGAAGGCTCCTTACCGATCGTCCGATCCGTTTTGAGCATATGCAGCATGTGTTAGCAGCGGTGTGGAGACCAGTGATGGGCATGTTCGCCTGTTCGTTGGCCGATGATCTATTCCCTCTTCCAATTTCCACACCCGAGAGATTTTCAACGTATAATTGACGAAGGACCTTGGTCCTTCGAGAACCACCACCTGGTGTGTGAGCCAGTGCCTATTGGGAGCCGGCCAGAAGAAGTCCTGCTGGATACGATTCCTTTTTGGGTCCAGGTACATGGCCTGCCTGCTATGTATGCCTCCCCGGATTTCATAACTCAGATTGGCGATTACATCGGGTCATACGTTGCATCAGATCCGTATAATTTTGGGGGAGCCTGGAAAAGTTTCTATAGAATCAGGGTACGTATGAAGATATCGTCTCCTTTGAAAAGGCGTATGCGACTGATTCGGCGGGATGGTACAATTCAATGGATCACATTCAAATATGAGAGGCTTAGCACATTTTGTTACTGTTGTGGGCTTCTCGGGCATTCTGATAAATATTGCAGAACTGCTTACGAGAAGGGCATTCTTCCAGAGGAATTCCCGTTCGGTGCGTGGCTACGGGCGGGACCCAGGCGACAGGTGAAACCGATCGGGGCGAAATGGTTGTTATCGGCCACAAATCCCCAGGAGAGAGTGCTGAACGATTGCTTGATTGGGCCTTCCCCAGCAGCACTCGTGACGATGGAGGAGTTAGGAAGGATGCACGGTGATCTGAAACGTCGGAGGGAGGATCACGAAGAGACAGAGGAGGCGACCAGGGCTGATGTTCGGATGGCAGACAGTGATCATCACAATGATTTGGCGGGTCTGGTGGACCAGGCTCGCCGGGTCCAATGAGTTGTCTAAGTTGGAACTGCCGGGGATTGGGGGGCACCCGGACAGTTCGTGAGTTGTTGGGCATCGTGTCCAAACAACGGCCCCAATTCGTCTTCTTAATGGAGACAAAAGCAACGGAGTCTAAAGTGGAGGAGGTACGAGTGAGTTTAGGTTTTGAGGGTAAAGTATGTGTAGAGCGGGTTGGCATAGGAGGAGGTTTAGCTTTCCTCTGGAGGGATAAGGATGCGGCGGTCCTAAGGAGCTTTTCAAACAACCATATTGACATGGAAATAGCTTTCCCAGGGCAGCCGGCATGGCGTTTAACGGGTTTTTATGGGGAATCAGACAGAAGCAGACGTTATATCACTTGGGATCTCTTAAAACAGCTCAAGGACAATTCTCAGCTCCCTTGGGTTGTTGTCGGTGATTTCAACGATATAACCTGCCTCTCAGAGAAACGTGGTACGCATTCTCATCCTTCGACTCTTATAGAGGGATTCAACGATGCTTTGAATGAATGTGAGTTGATTGATCTGGGTATGACGGGAGGACGTTACACATGGGTCAAAGGCCGAGGCACTGATGATTGGGTGGAGGAACGGCTAGATAGGGCTGTGGCAACTTTGCCGTGGATGGAGTTACATGAAGAGGCCATAGTCAGAAATATTTATACTCAACAATCTGACCATTGCGCGATTTTAATTGATGTTCATGCTGCTTCTACACGGGTGGCTATTCAGAGGTTTAGATTCGAATCCGCATGGCTGTTGGAGGAAGGGTGTACGCGTGTGGTTGACACAGCTTGGCGCATGTCAATGGGATTAAGCTTCCCGGAACGCCTAGCGGTATGCAGTGAACGACTCGGAAGATGGGGTGGCGACCACCACCGTAATTTTGGTGTTCGAAGTAATAAACTGCGTAGGACTCTCGACCAATTGAAAGAAGTTCGAACGCCTGCAGCAGTGAACCTATTTTTCAAGGCCGAGAGAGAGCTGGAGGCTATTATGAAGGCTGAAGAACTTTTTTAGAAGCAGAGATCTAAGCAGCTCTGGCTAAAGCACGGAGACGCAAACACAAAGTTTTTTCACAAATCAGCTACGGCTCGTCGGAAACAGAATTTTTTATCCCACCTTAAAGATCAGAATGGCGTATGGGCGGAGGGTTTGGCGATGAAGGCCGAGATTATCAGGTATTTCGAGCAAATTTTTTGTTCAGGCACTTGCCGTGCCAATATTTTTAATCGAGTTACCGGGCGTGTGACGGCGGAGATGCAAATCTCACTGTCTCGGCCGTTCACAGTGGATGATGTGAAAACGGCCTTGTTTGACATGACCGGAAAAGGCCCCTGGCCCGGACAGTTTGTCACCGGTGTTCTTTCAGCACTTCTGGCCGATTCTCGGACACGACTTATCAGTGTTCATCATTAATTGTGTGGAGCATAAACAGTTCCCACAGGGATTGAATGATTCTAATATCGTTCTAATCCCCAAGAAATCGGTCCCGGAAAAGGTCTCGGATCTCAGGCCGATAGCTCTATGTAAAGTGGTGTACAAGGTACTCGCTAAAATGCTGGCCAATAGGCTTAAAGGGTGTTTGGATAATGTGGTGTCTCAGTCTCAAAGTGCGTTCGTTCCTAACCGGCTCCTCACGGATAATATTATTCTTGCCGGTGAGGTTGGACACTACCTACGCAGGAAAACAGGGGGTTGTCAGGGGTGGGTGGCGCTTAAGCTTGATATGGCTAAAGCGTACGATAGGATGGAGTGGCCTTTTTTAAAAGGAATGTTGGAGGCGTTGGGCTTTCAGAGAGACTGGGTAGATTTACTCATGCTATGCGTTACTACTGTAAACTATTCAATACTGGTGAATGGGGAGATTGCGGGGCAGGTTCGGCCTACGCGGGGTATCCGACAGGGAGACCCGTTATCGCCCTATTTGTTCATTTTATGTGCCGAGGGATTGTCTATCCTTCTGCAGCAAGCAGAGACCCGGGGGGACATTCACGGGGTGAGAGTGGCGCGGGGTGCATCGGCCATCATCCACCTGTTTTTTGCTGACGACAGCCTTTTATTTTTCAGGGCCAAAGAAGAGGAGGCGATAAAAATTAAGGAATGTTTAGATGTTTACAGCTTGGCCTCGGGACAATTAATAAATTATGAGAAGTCTATTGCGGTGTTTAGCCACAACACGAGTACTCCGATCAGGACCTTGGTGTCAGGGATTATTGGAGTTCCCGAAGCTCTGGATTTGGGACGGTATCTGGGTCTTCCTTCGGCACTGGGACGAAGCAAAATTGCGATTTTTAAATACATTGAAGGGAATGTTCGTACCGGAATGGGGACTTGGCATAATAAGTTACTATCTCGCGCAGGTAAAGAAGTTTTACTCAAAAGTATTGCGCAATCCCTTCCCATTTTTACCATGTCGGTCTATTTATTACCGTTGCGAGTTTGTGATACACTGGAAAAATTGTTCAACCGATTCTGGTGGGGTGGTGGGAATACAGGAAATCGCGGGATACACTAGTTAATTTGGGAGAAGATGTGTACGCCGAAAGTGAAAGGTGGACTTGGATTCAAAAAATTACACCAATTCAATATTGCATTACTAGCCAAACAGGGTTGGAGATTATTAATCCAACCCGAGTTATTGGTGAGCAGAACCATGAAAGCTAAATATTTTCCTACTACTGGTTTTATGGAGGCACAGCTAGGTGGGAATCCCAGTTTCATTTGGCGTAGCATACTTGCTGGACGAAATGTTTTACATTTGGGTATTGCCCGGCGAGTGGGGGACGGTAGAGATACGAAGGTATGGGGTTGGAATTGGGTAGCCGGTTCATCCAACTTGCAGCTAGCTACTCCGTACGTTGATTACCTTCGCGATGCAAGAGTGCAGAATTTAATGACAGAGGACGGCAATTGGGATACAGACATTATCTATGATATTTTTCTCCCGGAAGATGTTCCTAAAATCCTTGCCACTCCCGTAAATAGCCAGCTTCAGGATTGTTGGCGTTGGGTTGGTGACATACACGGCTGCTATACCGTAAAACATGGGTACAGATTATTAATGGAAAATCAGCTTCCGAATAGCTGCAACGATGGTTTCCAAGCGTGGAAGGCGTTAAGGGCATTATCCATTCCCCCCAAAGTCAAGAATTTTTTATGGCGTTGTGCTCGCGGCATACTACCAGTACGTGAAAATCTTCATAAGAGGAGGGCTTGGATTGGTGGAGGATGCCCGCTATGCGGTTTTAACGCGGAGACAATAAACCATTTATTTTGTGATTGTGGCTTCGCACAACAACTTTGGAGCCATGCAGACATACATCAAGGGCGTGATTTTTTGCAGTTTATGGTCGAGTCAATAGGCGACTCTTCTACTCATTCAGGTATTCGTTTGGCAGCCACCTTATGGACTATTTGGCTCATACGAAATGAAGTTGTTTGGCAGGACATCAACAAGCGCTGTGGCAATTGAGCGTATGCGGTATATGCAACGTACGTGGGAAGAAGTTTTGGTGAGGAGCGGCACAGTACAAGTGTCGGCTAGGTCATTGGTTGATTGGACTCCCCCGCCGAGAGGTACGTTAAAATGCAACACTGACGCAGCTATTTCAGGGGATGGTGCTGGCTTCGCCAGTGTGATCCGGGATCACGAGGGGCATTTTGTGGCGGCAATGAGTGGGCGTCTAATAGGTGAAGCGGATCCGTTTATGGCCGAGGTTCTGGGTGCCAAAGAAGCATTGACATGGCTAAAATCCCAATCTCATAATAATTTCATTTTAGAATCTGATTGTTTAAATTTTTGTAATGCTTTCAATTCTTGTTTGTCTGATTTTTCGTACGTCGGTTTAGTTGTTAAGCAATGTCAGTCGATTGCTAGGGATATTGGGAATGTAACTGTATCCCATGTCAAGAGATCAGCGAACCGTGTGGCTCATGAGCTTGCTCGGGCAACCGTTTCTATGTCTGTCTCGGGAATTTGGTCTGGTGTTCCACCAGATTGTATCGCTCATTTGTTTTGATCAGTAATACAACTTTCGTTCTTGTGTTCAAAAAAAAAATAAATAAATAAAACATAACAAATGTTATTAACTTTTCAATTTTGTTCCTCAAAAGTATGTGTTATTTGTACAAAGTACAATTATACTTACCTCTAAAAATTTGAAAAGTCAAAATGGTAAATTGAGAAATGTAGAATGATAGGTATGTTCAATTTTGGAAAGATGACACTATTTTGGGACAAACCAAAAAGAAAAGTAAGACAGGTAAAATGGGACGGAGAGAGTATTAGGGAAAGGCGGAAAGCAAACTGTTTTCATGCACTTCACAAGTTTAAGTGGAGTTATGTATATCCCCTTCTATCATTTACTTCTCCCACAGGTTGAGTTCCCAACTCCAAGAGCCCCTTACACTCCGATTCGATAGAACATTGTGGGAAGGTGTAAATCACGATGACTCAATAATTTAGCAGATGGGACAAAATGCCGGTGCGCACAAGGAATCTG